TGTAGCGCACGTTTAATCAATCGAGTGTTTAACAACGTTTAGCCACGTGATACATGCACCATTATTTCTATTTTCACTATTTTCACAGGCAAATGCGCAAGCGCAAGCTCAACCCCGTGACTAAAGTCCGTGACTAAAGTACTTTACACACTGTTTTAGCCATCCGTGTTTAAAATACCATTTTTTGTGTCTCAAAACTTCAAAAATTTAAATTTTCACCACAATTCATTAAATTTATTTGTAACTAGCATTAACCCGCGTCTTCGCTCGCGAATATCTAAAATAATGAAGTTGCTTCCATACGCGTCTGTGGTCACAGAAGAAGTAACAATGAAGTAGAATGGCGGGAAGTTTAAAATGGCTGAAAGTATAGTCTATAGAAGTATAGTGAACAGTCTCCATAGTGTAGTCAATTGGATTTGATGTTGACGTAGCTGTCGGTAATACAGTGTGATAATACAGTGTGATGGTACTATAGTACTTAGGTTTGAGCTTCATTGCTGGAATGCTAGATGGCGTTAAAGTAGTCAAATAGCCAGATGCAGAGGTATTATTGGCTAAACAATTTCTTTATTTAATTTAAAAATTAATTTTTTTTATTAAATAAAAAGTAGCCTATATCCATTCGGGGACCACTAAGAATATGTGTACAAATTTACATGATGATCGGTTAAGTAGTTTTTGCGTGAATGCATGATAAACATCAGGACATTCGCATTTATAATATTAATCATGATTCCTTGAAAAAAAAAAGAAGAAAAAACTTCTCAGCCATAAGTTAAAATTACCATAGAAATAATTTATAAAGTACTTACAATTCCTAGACGTCAATTTTGATTCGCATAAATTGAATCTATTGAAATGCAAACAATGAGCACGTAGCTTTGGAAGGATTTTCAAGACTTTCCCAGCGAGTCAGTCATGATTTGCATTTAAACTTTTACCTATTGAATCATTTCAGTAATTGTGAACATATCAAGGTCATAATCACATGCCCGGCACGTTTCCGAGGGTATTTACGATAAATTTACGTGCTTGTGAGTTTCCGGCTTAACCACAGACGGCAAACGAATGAAACGATACAAAAAGGTCGATATGGACTCGGGGATCCACTTACTGTGAATACAATCCATGTAAAGTACGGCTAATGTGACTTCCAACTCCGAAACTCTAAAACCACGCTTGCCGTTTCCGCTTTTCCGATTCGCAACAAGATCATTAAGCTCTTTTATGTCCTCCTACTCCATCCACGCATATTGCAAAGTCGTTATATTTTTTGTTTCCTATATTCTTTCATTGCTTACAAAAAGGAAATCAAGTTTTATTTTTTATTTTTTTATTTTTTTCATTTCCTTTCAACGTATTTTTCAAATTTAAAAAGATGATCCACTCGTCGTACGTGGGATGCTTCCATTGATAAATCTTCTTTTCAGTAAGTTGTTTATCCGATCACTTTATATTTTGACAACCCACGACTAACAGAAATAGATCATGTCAGTAACAGGTGACTGTGAATGTCAGATGGGAATGCGGACCGGAACCGAACCTAACCTAAATTCCCACGAGTGAAAAACTCATATGTCCACGATTCGGAATAAATGTGTGAACATTTGTTTGTGTTTTTGTGCCAATGACACCTTTGTTTCACCCTTTTTCCCTTCGAAAAAAAATTCCTACGTTTATACATAAAAGTTAGAAGGTTATCCAAGTTCAGAACCAAAACAATTGAATTTTTCCCCCCGAAAAAAATAAAACAAAACAAAAAAAAAACAAGAAAAGGGTTTTGGTTTGCGGTTCCAATCAATTACCCCCAAACGAATCATTGACACACTCTTGAATTCAACTTCAATACCCCCCACACTTTGTATTTCCGATTGAAACAACATTCAGTCATGTGTGCGCTAGATTTCTCTTGATTCCGGTTGTCCGGTGAGCTAAACTAAACCCTCCAAAATTTCCGCTTCTATAAGTTGCGTGAATCGCATGTTTTCGGGCGTCAGAGGCAATAAAACGTTAACGGACACCGGAGAATATAACCATTTCTCCGGTCATACCGCCGACGGTTTAATTAAACCCCACGACGCCGGCGACGTCGAGAAACAACGTCGGCGCTTCAAGCTCGCCAACGATTAATGCGGGTGTTACGTTAAATCATTATTGTCACGCTGTAATTGCTTCAACATCGCTTTTTTTATGACTGGTTCACTCGTCGTATCAATTATATTGAATTGCTTACATTTCTAATAAGAAAATAAATAAAAAATTTGGAAGTGGGCCAAAATATATATAATCAAGTAGTAATTTAATACAGGGATGAAATGTAATCTATTTGGTTTTCTGATTTGTTTGCTCATGGGAAACAAATCGTATATTTAACCCTTTTAGAGGAATATGTTTAATATTAATTCATATATTCGGAATTTACGATAATATTTCGATGGATATTATATTACGATCAGGTTAATATTATTAAAATAAATATTACTAAATTCTAATATTATTATATATTTGATTTATGCGCATTCCATAATTATTCACGGAAATATTTTTAGTAAAATTTTTATTTTTTGTTCAAAATAATTTCACGCACGCCAAATGTTAATTTCTGAGGGTTTCATTAGCCTAAACAAATTATAAAGGGTCTAATTATATCAAGGTGTAAATGAAGCAATTTGCTTGTCGCCATTTTCACGTCACGTCTCGCAGGAAAAGACAAGGTTAACGCAGGAACGCGAAATTTCTTCGAAGCCTTCAAAGGACGACAACAAACCAGATAAATTACTTAAATTACTTAAATTTATACAAAGTCAAAAAGTAACTTTATAATTAAACGAATTAAAATATTTATTATTAAATCTTTTGACGCAATATCTTTGTTTATTTTATTCGGTTTCGTTTGACGTTTTTCTTGATTTAGCGAACCGTACGCATTGCGTCCATCATCGAAATTAATGCAGTAATTGAAAGACAAGCCTCCGAAATAATTGAATAGATTCTCGCCACGTGTAAACAATATCCGACGGGATGTTTATGGAATGTTGAGAATTACGGCCGTGAGGAGCTCGAAAAAGCCGTCGCTCAGCAATACTAGAGGACGAGTACTTGCGTCACACGACTTGAATTGAATTGAAATATTCGATTTTTACGCGTTTAATGTTAACAAAAACACGCTTTCAGTAAAAACAGGATTTCGGCGAAAATACTTTTGCCTACAGATTGAAACAATAAATTATCGTAAATATTATCCAATCACAATTCGTGGAATAAAAGCAAAATAAAACTTCTTTTCCACTTAGGAAATAAAAAAAATACAAAAGAAAATATCCAGGATTAATTACGTTGAGAGGAAAGTTATTATTTTATAATTATGTAATAGCAGCAGATTGAAAAAGAAATTATTTTTACGAGTACGAGTATAGCGATGCGGAAATATTAAAATATGAAATGTGAAATGTGAAACGCGCAAGTATTTGCATTCGCTACGGGAGAGTAATTGCGAAAAGGTTTTAATTAAACATTAAAATGCCAGCAATGAGCACACGCAGGATTAAATCACGGCTCATTATTAAATTGTATTTTGTTGCAAAATAGATAAATAGTTTATTATTTAACCGCACGTATGAAAATTGTGTGAAAACTTTTTAAAACAAAAAAAAACAGAGACCAGGAATTAATATTCAAAATGTAAATGTAAATCTGCTTTTAGTACCGACTCGCATAATATGATGATATATTTCAATTATTATGACACTTTATTATTTTGTTTCTCGGGGAACTATTCGTTATAATTATGCGGAGTACTTTGTGCTCTACATTATTTTATGCTTTTTATGCATTTGTTGTGCATTTTTGTAGATATTTTCTAGGTTATGTGACTTAATAATGACATAAATGATACAAATTGACAGCGTGGAGGTATTTTTGCTGTGCATTGTTATTTTTAACTGGAAAATGAAGAAATAAAGAGAAAACCGGAAGTTTTTAAATTAGGTTATGTTGGTTGACATTATATTTCATCATTTTTCAGTGAATTCTAAAAGTACGCTTTATTTTGAGTGTTTATTTCATGAAATTATAAAATTAATCCATTTAAAACAATTTTTATTGAAATTTCAATGAATTTCAACAAAAATACGAATTTAACCTCAAAATTGACGTGTAAAGTGACCTAACCTAATTTCAACCCTATTATTTAGGTAATATTTCATGAAATTGCAAAAATAAATAGATTTAAGACTATTTTTATTCAAATTTCTATGAATTAAAACAAATAATACGAATTTAACCTCAAAATTTATGTTTAAAATAACTTAACCTAATTGCAACATTATCATTTAAGTAATATTTTATAAAATAACAAAAATTAATGAATTTAAGACAATTTTTAGCAAAAACTTCAGAAATTCAATCAAAAAAAATACTTTTTTAACCTCAAATTTGACATTAAACGTACCATAACCTAATTTCAACACTATTACACCAAATATAATAGCTATGGCTTACATCTATTCTATCCACTCCTCATTTCTCACTTCTTAGCTTAGATCTTACACCTTTTGCACCCACTAAAAGGAATACCAAATCATGTGTTCCCTCGAGAATCCACCGCAAAGGATATGGATCAAACGGACCAAAACCGACGCCAAAATTCGCCCGCCTCCTCAGCTGAAACTATTATGCCCTAAGTAGCTCATTGCGACGCCTCAGCTGAGGTCCTTGATACTCTCTATTTCAATGTTTCAATGTTTCAATGCTCAATGCTCACTGTTCACACAAACCTCAAGGACACTTTAGCGGCTATTAAGTGGAACCAAACGCGAAATTACAACCAACAAACTAACACATCCTACTACCTACAATAACATCATCTATCATTGTCTTTAAATAGCAAATAATTAATGAATATTCAATCATGCAACGTGTAAAATAATAGACAACGTAAAATAGAATATTTGTCATTTGAAATATTTGTCACTAGAAAAACATATGTAAATGTATACCGTATTCTCGTATTCCAGCAAAATCAACACCATTCACATTTTCACGCACGCACTTTGTCGATTTCCATGTTTGAATATTTGTTGTTTTCCTGATGTGATTTTTTCTAACCGAAAATATTCTCTACAGATGTAGGTGCCAATATTTTCCAAGTTTCGATGAGATTCGTCTTCGATCTCTTCCGCTCATGATTTATTCCGGTTGAAATTTTCGTTGTTGATGCAAGTGAAAGATTTATGAAGAGAAAAAAACCGTCAACAGATTGTAGCGATTTTATTTACTACCACGTTCACAACTTTACACTTGCTGCCCGTCCTTAAACTTTACATTCCGCACGAAATGGTAATTTTTTTCGTGTAAACGTGCTTGCAATACGAAAAACGAAAATAAAATAACAAAAATTTTATTTTTTTATATTTTTATGAATTTACTTTAAGATAATTCAGCAGAGTAATTTTAATTTAAATTGTTTTGTATTTAATTATTGAAATGATAATTTTAATTGTCGCGTTGTTCACAATTCGTGAGATTCGCGTGGACGCGCGTCGTTGTCTGCGGACGCGTTCGGACGCACTGTTTTCACACGGCGGCGGCGGCAGTGGCGGCAGTAGCGATGGAGGCAGTGGAGGCGGCACACGCAGTTCACATCACGTGACACATGGCAAGCAACAATCTGAACTTCTTTTTACTGAAGCAGGGTAATGTACGGCGGAAATATCGAAAAAAATGCGTAAAAATCTTAGAAATTTAAATTTTTATCAAAAAATATTAAAATTACAATTAATTTTTTTATTTTAAATATTTTATAGATAAATAGAACAATGATCTGAATAAGAATTAACTAATTATATTAATTATTATGCATTTTATAATCAATTCTTTCCAGTAAAAACATAAAACACGATTTTTCTAGAAAAAAATTTGAAAAAATTAAAAAATCTAGAAATCTGAAAGTATTTTTAGTATTTTTTTAATAAAAATATATTACTAATAAACACAACTATGTTCTTAATAGAAATGAACTAAGAATATTCATAATTGTTAATTTTATAGCCAATTTCGTTTATAAAAACTTTAAAAACTCTTTTTTTAAAGAAAAAATTCATAAAAACAAAAATTTAAAAGTTCAAAGGTTGTTACTTTAAAAACCACACAAAAAATACCTTTCAATATTTACCATCAATCTGATAAAACTTCCCAAAGTCGTTGTGAGGTGTGATTTTATCCAATCTGTGTTTGCGTTTCACCTTCATGCCAAGCGAGATTATTCGTCAAAAAGTTTTTAATTCTAACCAAACAAAAAAATACATATCAGGACGTATAGATAATTTATCCGTTGTGCACAATCAACACTTCTAATCTGACACCCAAATATGGATTAAAAATGATGCGATAATAACCAAAACAAAGAACGCGATTTTCACCCACACGAAACGCATCGGAATAAAAAAGCACCAGCGTGATGCTAATCAAGCGTGGAATATTATCATTGACGGTATCTGTGCAGCCAACAATATTGTTACCTTTTGTGCTTTTGTTCCCCTGATCACCCAAGCAGAGGATTTCACACGTCACGCACAAAACAGCTCAGCGCTAGAATAACATTAGTAGTTTGTAGTGTGTAGTTGAGTTGTAATTTATTGAGGCTTAAAAATGTGTTTTTCAACCATTTTTATATTTATATTAATACGTATGTAAATGCTGGTGGATGTGCGGAGTGTTTCGTGACTTGTTTCCAAACGATTTAGATCAATAACTCACTGATGAAGCGTAGTATCGTCGGCAAGTTTGCGCCGTGCCAATTCGTGCGTTTAATGTCACCGCAGACGGAATTAATTTCGTCTATTTAGATTGCAGATGCTGAGGAGATACAAAATGTTGCAAATTACGACGCGTTTATTTTTAAAATGTGATATATGTGTTTTTATTGCTTTAAATTATATAATGGAGCTTGTTTTATAGGATTTGGTATAAAATTTTGTGTTTTGAGGTTTAAATAACCTTAAAATGTAAATTTTGACGTATGGACAACATAACCTCATTGGAAAATATTAAATTACTTTTATAATTTTGTTTCTCTATAAATATTTTGATATATTAAGGATTATTTTGGTATTTAAAGCAAAAACTAACTTAAAAATCTAATATTTTAGCAATTAAAAATGTTTACAAACGAATAACAGTAACTATTGACTAAAACTCAACTAAAAATATTAATTATTATCAATATTATAGCAAATTTTATTCATAAAAAATATAACAGCTTTATTTTCAAGAAAAAAATATTTAAAAACTCTAAAAACTCTAAAAACATAATTTTTGACAATTAAATGACGTGTGAACAACATAACCTCATCTGAAAAAATCAATTTCTTTAATAATTTTGTTTCTGTATAAATATTTTGATATTTGAATGATTATTTCGCTGTTTACAGCAAAAACTAATCTAAAAATCAAAGATCTACAGTCATTTCTGAGTTATAAATAGCAAAACTTTATATATACATTTTTCCTACTTCAGTAGTCATCAAATTTGTTTATTGAATTTAACGTTTTAATAATACATAAAAAACATTTACATTTTTATACATTTCAAACATGTTTATTGCTTTTTACTTAAGTTATAAGCATGTTCAAGTGAAATTTCAAAAATAAACATGTTCGATACTTTTACCGCAACTCAACCATTGGTCATTTCTACGATCAATATTCAATACTTTTAAGAATTTCAGCAAAAAACTTTTGATAGCTCAAAACCTTTCACTTCCAACTAGGCATTGTTGACATAAGAGTCATAGCATAATTGTGATTGAACGATGTAGCCGCCTCCTGCATTCCTAATCGACCCATAAACCCGGAAAACTGTTCTCAAACATGCAGGGTAACAAGATTACCTACCTTACCATACTCTCACAATTTCCCTAAGTGATAAATCATGTATGTTACGCAAAAAATACAAAAAATAAATCAACCATTTACTTGGAATCAATAAATTTCTGCTTCATTTCACCACGCTGCTAATTAAGTGTAATTTACGTACGACTACCTACATGTTTCTGCAGTACTCGTATGTTTCGTGTTTAACGTCTTTATTCCTTGATGTTTGGTATTTGCCAAATTTTCCAGGGATTCTATTCAGTAGAACTCTACAACTACAGAATTCAACTTCAACTACGATGCTACTACTACGCAGAAAAGAGAATTATTATGATTTTTATTTATTCTCCGTTTTTTTTTCTTTTTGCGATGCGCTCTCACCAGAGGCGAAAGTTTCAACACTGTCTACCGCCGTTCCACGACCACATCTATCTTATTTCTTCCCTTACGCGCGTTGTAGTATATATTCATACTAGAACCCGAGGCTAGTAGAAAATCCGAACATTTGAAGTTCTCTCCGGCGCTCGCGATTCCTTTGACGTTCGCCGTTTACGCATAAACATGCTACTGATGTGGGTATAAACGCGTCGACCATATTTTCCGGTTTAAAGTGTTTTATATCATTTTTTGACATGTTGACTTTCGGCTATAAATTATTTATTACCGAGCGATTTTTCCACAACCAGCTTTCCAAATGACAGTTTAAGACTAAAAATGTAACGTAGGCAGCACGTAACACACAAAAAAGAAAAAGAAAGTATCTACATAAATCATAACCAACAAAATATTTATACGATTATACTTTTATAGGTTAACGAATAAGACGTAACTTCCATTCAGATGACTTTGTTTTATGATTTTCATTTAACAAAGAGTCAAAGGAGTGCAGTAATAAAATATTATCTGCGAATACCTCAAGGCTACGACGTACAGAGCAAGATATTCGCCAATATATTTTTTATGTCTATCCTGGATAAGAACCCTTCGTACTCTGTATTCTATAACACATATTATTCATATTTCTATGCTGTACATTGGGTTGCCTACGTTTTATGACAAACCTTTCATAACCACATAAAAATTCATTTAGAATTAAAAGGGTTGAAATAAATCCTGAAACTGCGCATGCGCAAAACTTTTCGGCTCTTATTCACTAGAACCATTAAAAGTAATTTATGACACTGGTGACTTTTCGACCTTCAAACTCATTTGTATTGTCCGCAACTATAATTTTTAAGCTACACTTTAAACTTGCACAACTTCCATTATTAATCATTTGAGGTTATGTTACGCACATTAATTCGTGCTGCGAAATAAATCCACAGCTTCCCATTGTCAAGAAAGAACGCAAGAAACGACTCAACGCGAAGTCTTTTCATATATCTTTTCATATTCGACGCGAAACACAGAAAAAAAGGTTATAAATATACAGCTAAAGAAGATGGAACACCAGAAATACGAATAACCTTGGTCATATTGTCTTTTTGCTTTGTTTATGACCACATTCCATTCGGGAAACTAATATTCTCCAATCGGTAAACCAATATTATTCCACCTAGCACATTGAGACTGAGAAGTTTAACCTCAAAGTGGAACTGAAACTGCACGCAACCCAAATGACGTCGGCGGCGGCTGTGTTAATTATAATTCGTCTGTTTATTGAAATATCTTCCATCTGACTATTCTCTAATATTGTTTTCGTGATTGTGTGAATGCTGAATTGTATAGATTGTATTAGATCTATTTGTTTTGGCATGAGACGTGCCTGGTGGAGCGCGCGAGTATAAATATTAACTCCGGCACGTTTTATTTCGATTATTTACCAAATTCACCGCCGTGTAATTAAATTTTACGAGGAGCGTTAACGCGTCGACTTGTTGACGGCGTAAGAAAATTTGATTTCGAAACTTTGCGCCACGCAATGACTTCTATTATTCGGTGCTTAGCGAATTTCGCGCGTTAAGGATTTTGTTAATAACTTACTCTGCTTACCTACGGTGTACTTTTGCGCTATAGCAAAACTTTTGACTTCTGATTTTAAGTCTGAGGAAGAATTACAAATTAGCGTGCTTGGCTTTTCGCTGTTTTGATACAAAATTAGATTTTAAGCTTCGTTTTACTTTCAGCAGGCAAAAACAAAAACAAATTCATTGTTTAAGTTTAAGTTTTAAGTTTTCAAAATAACAAATAAAAAAAATTGATGAATTAATCAATTGTTTATTCATTTATATTTAAAAATAAATTATATTTATATTATTATGGCTTTAAATTATGTAATAGAGCGAGAGCCAGTGACGGCCAGACTTTCGTCATTTTAGGAAAGATGAAATTTTGTCTATGTGTGTCTCCAATACAGGTAAGAACGATTCCCAATTATGAAACCTGGATCGTGGTTCCTTTGGCAGTTAACAGCCAACAAAGATGTACAAATGATGACCTCAAATTCGTTATTTTAGCAAACTCCATTTTTACATATTTTGTTCGTAACATTATTACAACATGCGCTGCTCATTGCCAGACACCTGGTATGGTTCCAACCCTAGCCAGACACCCCTAAACTATAATATTTTTTAACTTTTTTACTTTCGTTATATTAAGAAAGCTGAATTTGATACATATTATGCAGAGAGCTATGAAACTGTGTTTTCTTTGACGCCAGACAGTTTGGTCGGTTCTGTCATCCTGCCAGACGCATTGAAAGTGTATAAGAGTTGTAAAAGTTAAATTGTTTAAACATGAAATTTTCACATAATAGTAATTTTATTTCAACAAATCTTTAATAATTTTCATCATTGTTCTCGATACCGCGACTGAAACCGCGACTGAAAGAGCTCAAAAGTGCAATTTTTCAATTTTTGACGTTTTATTTCAATTGCTAATATCTCGTAAACTAAAGGAGATAGAAAGGAACGAATAGCCAAGATATCGACGACAGTGATGATTATTATTAAATATTTGTTAAATTAAAATTACTATTCTCTGAAAATTTTATTTCATATTTTATATTTTTATTTTAACAATTTAACTTTTGCAACTTTTATACAATTTCAATGTGTCTGGCAGGATGATAGAACCGACCAAACTGTCTGGCGTCAAAGAAAACACAGTTTCATAGCTCTCTGCATAATGTGTATCAAATTCAGCTTTCTTAATATAACGAAAGTAAAAAAGTTAAAAAATATTATACTCGTAGTTTAAGGGTGTCTGGCTAGGGTTGGAACCATACCAGGTGTCTGACAATGAGCAGTGCATGTTGTAATAATGTTACGAACAAAATATGTAAAAATGGAGTTTGCTAAAATAACGAAACATAGGTCATCATGTGTACATCTTTGTTGGCTGTTAACTGCCAAAGGAACCACGATCCAGCTTTCATAATTGGGAATCGTTCTTACCTGTGTTAGAGAAACA